ATGACTACTACTACTACTACTACTACTACTACTACTACTACTACTACTACTACTACTACTACTACTACTACTGTCAAAAGTACCATCAGTTGCATTTTATTTAATGTTATATTTTTTTCCAGAAACATGCAAGGCTTCTCTGACTTTGTCAAAATCTGCTACCCTCCTGCAAACCTTGCCCAGGTATCAAGGAAATTCAACGATGTGATACGTCTGGTCTGCGGCGATTCACCCATGTTTAATTGTTCACTCGTACTCACTGATCACTGTTTTGCAAATGTGGATGAATCGACGAATCTGCAAGATTAGTAAGAGCATATTTAATCAATTCTTAAAATGGCTGTCTTCTTTTTTCTATTCTTGTCCCCGTCCCCACCCACCCCTCGCTCCCAGATCCCACCCCTTATCTGGCCTCAAAACTCAGTTCTTCTCTTTTGTTTTAGTTTTAGTAGAGGTTTTACGGCGCTCGCAACTGCATAAGGTCATATGAGCGCAAGGGGTGGATGTCAACAGAGAAGTCCTTACTGAGAATCAGGATTACTCTGCTCACCTTTCTTGCTTCAACAGCCCAAAGTCTGCTTCGACTATCAAGGCACACCGGAAATAGAGGGTCACAAGAGTGTGACAAACATACAAGAGAAGTAGAGGGAAAATGATAGTAAGGATTAGGACAGAAAAAGCAGCATTTCTCTGTTGCAGTTCAGGCACAGTTATGAGCGTGACATAGATGAATCAGCCCATCTACAATTACAATTCTACTGTGCATAAGAACATGGTTAATGTCCCCCGTTTGGGAATGGCCTAAAGACTCTTCAGGCAGTAGCACCGCTTCGAGGGGTGAGTTCTTAGCTTTAATTATCATCCCTTTTTGTGTAGGCGTTTTACACCCCTATGAATACAATCTACATGTAAATTATGTTGGAGGCGGGTTTCGACCCTGCCTGTTGGTGTCAACCGGTGTTCTGCGGGCTACAGCGTCCCCACAGAAAGACCAAAACACTTGATAAAAATGCTCCCCACACAGGAGTCGACCTTAGGCCTCCTGGTGCGACAGCGAACTGCTTAACCACTAGACTACAGACGCCGGTAATCATCATCAGTACTGCTTTCGTAATCATCCTCATCTGTAAGCCTAGAATAATAATAATATACACATTAGAACTTTACTTAATATATCGTCTCCTACTCAGTGGGCTCAGTCAGCAAATGCACTTTTCTATAGGAGATAATAAAATAAGAGAGTTAAGTGTATAGAACCGAAATCAAAACATGACGCATCAAGGAATAACAGTAAGAGGAATATCATTTCAAACAACACCATCAGCCACAACAACATCTTCAGCAACAACAACAACAGAAACAACAACAATAACAACAACAACAGCAACAACAAGAACAACCACAACAATTCCAACAACTACTATTATTGCCACCATCACAACTACTGCTATTCTTACTATGACTACAACTATGAGTGGTCGTTATAAATCAGCATCAAGGCCCTGTTGTGAAGGAGGTGGCATACGTCTACCACCAGCAGGCGGTGGCTGTTAAGGCCAAAGTGAGACAGACATACTCGGCTATTGTGGCCATAGGTAAAGATCTGGTATTGGTCAGCTGTCAGCTAAAGGTGTCATCTCTGACTCAGAGGTTGACGCTTAATGAACCTCCAGCGCTCATGGTCACCAGATGCCGTTCCACACTCTGCTATACCCAGGCCATTCCATGTCTTAATGTTGCGGTGACCAATGAGGACTTTGCCATACAGAATGATCTTATACAAAAGATGAACCTACAGTAGTACTACAGAAAGAAAATTCCCCAAGATACACTCCAAAAAACTGTGACACACAAACAATATAACGCAGGATAAAACGCGCTCATACTCCTTTTATTATGAAGGTATGTTATTTATTATAATTATGAATGATATCTATTTATTATATAGGTATTTCCTATATTCAGTTATTCGGTTGAATTCTTTTAACCTTAATTTCTGTATCATTGTTTCACATCTACATCAGCATCGACGCAGAAGTATGCGTGAATACAACCTTCCCAAAATATGGCTGTGATGGCCTTGTTCATCTCGAAGCGCTAAATTCTATCAGGGCCTTCAAAGCCTATAATTTGGCAAGGGTGCTAAATGGAACGAATGGAACGAACGTGACTCAGCCTCTAAGCAACGCTACCTGCGGCTGTGACCCTGTTGCTGCAGTGCATTGCGTCATGGACGTTCAGCACATGTCCAAGCAGCTAACACCGGACTGGAATCGAGTCTGCCCGTGAGTACTCACAGGGGAGAAATACGCGTACTATTCGCTACCAGAGTTCCATCTGCTCCCCCCTCCCCCCCCCCCCCCCCAGATTTTTTTACTTGGTCTAGAGGCACAGAGCATTTTGCTAGATCTATCTCCGTTGGAGACGTCTCCGGATATACGAAGTCCCTTCTCCTCCATCATGCTTTTTACGTCTAGTATTTAGTTTTTCCCCTACAAACGTGAACATAGCGAGTTAAAATATAACATAGGTGAAATGAGACATAGGAACACCAAATGTGACATGCAATTTAAAATGCGTTCAATTGTGAAAATTGACATTTCAAATGTGAATGTATGTTAAAACAATTGTGACATTGCAAGTGCAAATGTAACACGGCTGTAAAAGGTTTCAAAACAACAATTTTTCCATTTCCCTATCTCCCTCTCCAGTAGAGATACTGGCTTGAGATGGTTTGAAGCGAATGAATTAATGGAAACAATATTTATGAAAAGAAGGCTACTCATTGCTTTCTGTAGCAAATAGCAATAACAAACAAATACCATTCCTCACCCATTTGCCCCAAGTATGTATAGTATTTCCCCTTCAGCTGTGAACATAGCGAGGTGAAATATGACATTATAATTTGAACATTCAGTGTCACAAAACTTCACCAACGTTATATTTGCTCTTGCTTTGTCACATTTGAACTTTTTGAGTTCACATTTGAAGGGAAAATACTATAGAGCGTATAGATTATGTAAAAACAGAAAAAGAACGTTTTCATCTCTCTGGCCATGGTCACTAAATTTAAATCAAAGGTTACAGTGTACCAAAAGTTAAAGAAAAATATGTATTCTTTTTTTTTAAATTAAGGATGTTTAGAAAATGCTTTACGGTTTTAAAAATGTATCATGTTCTTATGTAACCCATGTTGACCTCTGTGTGGAAAATGAAAGCAACTTTTGAAGGTAGAGCTAGAAATAACGATTGTAATGTAATCTCACCAGCCATATTTGAAAGCTGCTGCTTTCACAAAAGGGTTTAGAACGTGTGCTGCATTCGCTCATTTTATATTAAAAGAAACAACAACAACCAAACCACCCCCTTTAAAAAGAAACAACAGCAAACAAACAAACAACACACAACACAACCCCCCCCTCCAAAATTAAAAAAAAAAAATTAAAAAATAATAAAATAATAACAGCAGCACAAGACCCACATGTTTTTATGGTACAGTGGATGTACTCTGAATCCAGTATTAACCTAGCAAGGTTGCCGTCAAAATAATTACGTTACCACTTTCAATTTATTCCGAACAGACATGTCACACAGTCGCTAACAGGGATGGAGAAACTTATTCAGTCATGAAGAAAGGTTGCGTGAGCAGAGGGCAGTGTATCCCAGGTTGCGAGGACGGTGTGTGTACGTTCTGTTGCGAAACAAGCAAGTGTAACAACGTATCTTACGGGCCCATCGAAGGTAAACCGATTCTCTGGAAAGTGTGGTCCAAATCTAATTGTTGTTACGTTCCCTTCTGTTTGTTCTGTGCTGTCTTTCAGTTTTCTGCTATGTTTATCTCTTTCTTTTCGAGACTCGTCCGTATTTCCCTTGTTCATCCACTGCTTTATTCTGCTGCATGTTCTCTGTCGTTTTTCAACAGTTCAGCTCTTTTAAAGTTGATCTTTCATTTGCAGGTATTCTTTTCCTTTTAGCAGAGAAGATACAGTGTAATAACAAATAATGTATGTTACTAATCTCCCGTTTCTGTTCCCATAATTTGTTTTTCAGGTTCCTGTGATGTGAGAAAATTTTCACAGTGTCTGCTGTCTATCGGTGTTGAGTATGCGGAAAACAATAGACTTGAGTGCAGGTGAGAAAACAACAGATTGAGAGTTAACCTCACATTTTACTGTCTTTGGGACACGTCCACTTGAGCTTTCCATTCGAAATTTACATGACGTCTACGCGCATCCAGTCTCTGTAGGGCCACGGTGCATCGCCAGTACGTCTTGCAGCAAAAACATAATATTATCAGGAACTGGTGGATGGGTGGAGTGGGGGTGGGGGTGGGGGGGGGTGGGGGCTCATGTAAACCTTTACCTTGTGTTCTAAGACTTTTGAAGAGGGTAGACGTCCCTGGAACGGGCAATGGTTTTGATTACAATTTTTTTTCAAGAAGAAAATCCCTCTTCCTCTATTTAACTATTAAAGACACCCCTTTTTACGTGTTAGATGAATAATTTTGAATGAATGAATAATAATGATTTTAACATTTATACATAATTCTTACCTTGAAATAATATACCTGACAATTTTTTTTTTTCAGTAAAGCAGAGCTGGCGCTAGAGTGTGTGAGGAAAGTGGAAAAAGACTGTGAGCTGGGCGGAAATGTAGAATTGACTAAGATCATGCAAAGTATCAACATCTCCATCGAGGTACAGCAATGTCTCATCAAAGAATCGAATCAGACTTGCTCCCAGAATCCTATCCTGACCAGCTACAACTATATCTACACTTTTGGAGCCACCCTAAGAAAAGATGAGCTCTGCAGGTGAGGGTTTTATTTTTACTTCTGATTTGTGTTTTTGAACAGCAATTGATTTTTAGAATATTTTCACCTTTGAACGACTTTCTTTTCTTTTCATCTTGTTAAAAAATTAAAGCAATGGTTATATCTCGTCATATTATATATTGTATTGTACAGTATTGTATTGCATTGTATTGTGTCGTATTCTATAATGTTCTATTCTATGCTATTAAGCGATTAGCTCATTTTAGAAGTTTCGAGAACATAAAAAGTAAAGTTCTCAAGTCAGAACCATGACTTGAGCGCTCGTTGTTTTCAATGAAAAGCTCAGAAGGAAGTAACAAAGCATTTCGGAACTATACTATAATTGGCCTCACGATCTCTTTATTCGATACAGCAGCAAACAGCTGAGTTTTCCTGTCTGAGGAGAATTGCCACAAGTACGAATACATTATAATGTTTCCTTTCGCACGATGAATAAATTTTTTTTCTTTCGCACAGAGTGTTGCGCGAGAACAGAGAACAACTTAAGATAGCCAACAGAACCTGTACCGTGGGTGAGTTCCGAGCAATCAACAGGACAATGCTGGATGTAGAGAATCTGATCGGGGACATCAACTGCTCCAGCTCCACTGGAGACGTGGTCAGCAGTAGATGCACCCCAGTCAAGGCGATTGAATGCGCTTTGGTTGTTATGAACGTCACATCAATCGATAGCATCACCTCACTGACATGCACGTAAGTACTGACACAGCACCATACCATACCTTGTCTC